GTAGAGAAGTAGATATGACATCAGTGGCAACAGTAACACAATAGTAGAAATCTTGGAGGATGTGTATCACTTGACAAGCAGAATGCAATTCTGAACCTACTCTCTTGCCTACAGTCCATGAAGACCCACCAAGGCTCTCTGGAAAGAATCTGCAATATTCTTAATCTTTAAGAGGGTTTGAGCAGGCCCAGCACTTTCTATTATAGACTCAATACTGTCTCATGGAATCCTTAGAGAATGTTTCATGATGAAATTAAACTATGTTTAGGAATTTGTTTGCTACTCTGATTGACTTCTATTACTTTTTGCTAGATTTATGACTTATTTGAGATATGGTTGGTATATCTAAATTTAGTTGCTACTCATGAAGCTGAAAGGAGAGGCACTTTAATTTCTCTCTTTTTGGTTCTTCCATTATCATAAATTCAAACTGCAAAGTCCAGTCTTCTGAAGTGTGGTTACTGCTCTGTATTTCTTCATCATCGAACCACAATTCTTGTCTTTTTATGGAAGTATATACCACTTTCTCTTTTGGTTATATCATTAGTGACACTCGTGTATACGTTATCTGTTACAAATTGCTACTATCCACACTACTAATGGCTACAAGTCTGTCCTGTGTCTGATAGCTTCTATTTGCTTCTTGGAGAAAAAGTCTGTGCTAGGCATATGGTTATAGGTCAATTAATCTCTTTTTTATCTCAGTTGTATCTTAACAGGTTAATGAAATTGTGATGTATATCAAATAAATAGGTTTAACTTTTATCAGGCATACTTTTTGTATAATACAGCTTTTAAGCATTCAACTTTCACGTTTAAAATACAAGCAGATATATGCCCAAAGACGAGAGAAAAAGTATTCCCAAGAACTTCATAACATACATCTCTCAGAGATAAAACCTACACAAGATTAAAAAGTTTGCATATTAAGAATGTATAAAAAGACCTGATGAAGATTTTGATCTGTAATTTTGTATTAGTTTCACCTGAGAGTCTATGCATTTATTTCTCAGAACCCCAGGATACTTTAAAAACATGCTCTTATAAACCTATGCTGTATCTTTATCTTCATCAGTATTATCTCTTATGCAATGGGTGGTCCTTAGGGAGCATTAATTGCTAACTATCTCTTAGCTACTTAAGGGCAATTTCAGAACAATTACCATGTATTTATGGGAATGAGGCATTCATTTATTTATTGCCTTTCTCTGAAAAATCCCATAGCACTGAGTCAAGATGATAACAGTAAAGTCATGCCCACTTATCTTTGCAGGGATTAACCCTTTCTCCATCCCCATCACCCACCTTAACATTACTATACCACCCTTATATGAAGCTCAGTCTTACAAGCCAATACCAGAATGGTGATTGCAACTCAACAGCATACTGAATTTATCCTTTCTCAATCCGTTTTCTTTTAAGAAAAATGAGATTTTCTTTTCTTTCCTTTCCTTTTTATTTAAGAAATGGAATAAGAACCTTACTTGTGGATCATACAAATTTAACTCAGTAGAAGTCACTGGTCTCCTCTTTGGATGAGATTGTTAGAGTTGTAAAGCAATCACTATTTTGGTTGTTTGGATGCTTATGTGAAGTAAACTATTTGAAATTGGGAGACAAGAGTCTTAGAATACTTTATTAAACATATTCAGTTGATTTAGGATAAAGATTCCTAATATTTCATGGGGCTATATGTCTTCCTTTTCAAATACTTTAATGCAGCAGTCTTCAAGCTTTTGGCATTAGGGACTGGTTTCAAGAAAGACAATTTTCCATGGACTGGGTTGAGAGGTATTGTTTTGGGATAATTCAGACACATAAAATTTATTGTGTACTTTATTTCTATAATTATTACATTGTAATACATGTAATGAAATAGTTATACAACTCACCATTAAAAAGAAAGAGACATGGATGGAAGTGGTAAATAAAATAATAGGCAGGTCACGCGTGGACTAATATGAGTGTCAGATTCTGAATTAAAGATAGCCACCAGATGCAGCTGTACAACTGAAGTTTGCTTGTCACTAACTGATAGGGTTTTGATATAAGTCTGCAAGCAACTGATTTATTATGGTCTCTGTGCAGTCAAACCTTACTGCTAGTATTAATCTGTATTTATATCTGTTCCCCAGTGCTAGCATCACTGCCTCAGCTCCTCCTCAAATCATCAGACATTAGCTTCTCATAAGGAGCACTCAACCTAGATCTGTTGCATGCAATGTTCACATTATGGTTCGTGCTCCTAAGAGAATCTAATGCTGCCACTGATCTGACAGGAGGTGAGCTCAGGCAGTAATGCGAGTGATGAGGAGGGCTGTAAATACAGATGAAGCTTCTTTCAGTTGCCTACCATTCACCTCCTGCTGTGCGACCCAGTTCCTAACAGGGGATTGGGGACCTGGGAATTGGGGACCCATGCTTTAATGTCTATATGGACATAGTATGTTATTAAAACACATGGGAATCCATGAAAGAGACATATAATTTGATTTATTGGAGGAAGGGAGAAAATAAAGATCTGATAATTTTCAAACTCTGAATTTATTTTCATGTGTTCATTTCTAGATATTTCATGCATAAACAGACATCAGAGAACTTCAGCATCATACTTAAATTGTTATTTAAAATGCTTTTCCAAGGTTCATATCCCAACCTTAAAATTATCTTTTGCCTGCCAGAGAGATATAAAACAGAAGGAATAATTTGAAATGTTTATACTAAATTAATGACAAGGATGTCAGAAAATATAAAAGAAATCATTAACATGTAATTTCTTTCTGTCTCTCTCTTTTGGACTATAATCTTTGCTAGGTATTAGGGTATACTTGTGCTTCCCAAATTTTACATTTTAGGAATAATTTATTTCACTCTATTCAAACAATTTTTTTCCTATTTTGAAAAGTGGTATTATGCTATTTAATTCAGATTATTATTTATTTGATGTTATTTAATTCAGATAAGAAAAAGTGTAAACTCTTACTGCGATACAGCAAAAGCAAAAGCAAAAAAAAAAAAAAAAAAAAAAAGAAAAGAAAAGAAAAAGAAGAAGCATGAGTTTTAGAGGGAGACAAACTTCAGTTTGAACACCAGTCATGCACATAGATACTTGTAGGTCAGAGGTCCTTATGTGTGTTAATTAACCTGCCTGGGTCTCAGTTTCTCATCTCTAAAATGTGGATAACGATATTCATTAGTGTTACTGTGTGAATAAAATGGTAACATATATGTGCAAAGTGCTGAGCACACATAGTCCCAATAATGAATAGCATTTATCGTGGCTATGAGTCACGAAGAATGCTAAATGCATTGCACATTTACAGATTTAATTCTTACAGCATTCTTGTGGAGTACATGTTATTTCAGTCCTATTTTGCAGATGTGGAAGTAAAGGAGAGAGATTTTAAATAATGTACCCTCAGTTGCGTAAGTCTTAAGTGGCAGGAACAGAATTCTAACTGAGTCTGTCTGTTTGGTTATCTGTTGCTGTGCAACAAACCATCTGAAACTTAGTGGCCTAAAACAACATCATTTTATTATCCCTCATGTGTTTATGGGTTGGTGGGACCAAGGTGGGTGGATTCTTTTCTGCCTGAGATGATGACAAGAACGGCAACCACCTAATAGCAGTGGTAGGTGGGGATGTACCATCTGAGATGATTCATTCACAAGCTGGCATTCAGGGCTGGCTGTCTTCTGGGAGTTCAGATGGGGCTGTTGACTGGAGCACCTCAGTTTCCTCTTTCTTGCAGTATGGGATGTGGCTTCATTACACGGATTGCTTTTGCTCAGCATAGAGACCAGCTTCCGGGAGGGAGTGTTACAGGAGGACACACTCCAAGGTAAGAACATTTAAGATGCTATCACTTGCACCACACTTGCTAATGTCCCATTGGTCAAGGTCAGTCACATGGAAAAGCCCAGCGTCAATGTGGAAGAGAACCATACAAGGGCATGAAGATTAAAAGGTCCCACCAAGACCACTAAAGTAACAGCCCACTGCAACACCTGTCATCAGAAGCACTCTCTTCTGTCTCCAAACTACTGTGGCTGTCACTCAGGAATCTTCTGCTTCCCTTGGGTAGTATATTAGCCAATGCTTTGTGAGAAGGATTCAGGAGTTTCGGACATAGAGCCCTTTTCATGTTTTTAGTAAGTTTTTACACATTCCTGCTTTCAAATGTGACATAAAATTTCACTTTTATTTAAACGATGTTAAAAGAAATTTCGGTTTTATGAAAGAAAAATGCCACTCTCAAAGACTTCTTTTATGGAATTTTAAATGCCATTTTGTATAGGGTTTTATATGTTATAATTCATTAGTGAGTAAAATAAGGAGAAATATCGTTACATATTATGCCCCATCATTATCCAAATAAAAGTGAATATTATATGGCAGTCTATTTCTTAGAGTACATGACTAATTTTGGCTTATTTTTTAAAAGAAATATCCTTTTAAAGGAATGAACATTATTCTATTATTTCTGTGAAAGTAGAATTTTTTTACTTCAGAAATTATAATCCTTTTCTTCATTTTATATACATTATAATAATTTATTTATAATGTCTTTTATATACATGGGGGTCCAGGCAGAACTCTTTGTTTAAAAGTGTTTCTCCAGACAAAACATCTATATTTGCATGTAACATTTATTTCTAAACAGAAATATTTTACTTTAATGACCCAAAATATTGAAATGCTTTCTTCCATTAATATTGAAATTTAGAAAAAAATATATAACCTTTTAATCTTGATTCATTATTTCAAGTAAAATGAGCAATTATTTACGAGTAATACCATTTCAAAGCTGTTTGGTGACCAATGCAAACTCTGATAATGTCACAGCCTAAAATCAAGACTCTGAGGGTGATAGCAGAAGATGATACCTGAACTAGGCTACTCCTTAGTGGCTGTGGCATTATTATTAAGCTTTTTCTTTCTCTTAAAAGAAACTAAAATAGATGTATGAAAGAAACAATGAAGAAAACCAGTAACTTACTTTTAGTGACAACGCCTTCTAGGCGAATGATATTTGGGTGGTCAAACTGTCCCATGATACTAGCTTCTCTTAGAAAGTCTCTTCTTTGCCGATCCATGTGGCCACCTTTCAAAGTTTTAATGGCTACTGGGATCTCCCTTTTCCCCGGTGTCTTCAAACGCCCACTACAGACTTCTCCAAATTCACCTTAAAATATGAACAAAAGCAGTTATTTGCTTAAACAGAATACTTATATTTCTGAAGAGTCAATTTATCACACAGCACTATTCTTTTTTGTTTAACACAATGACTCTCAAGTGTGTTATTTTCACATGAAAATTTCATCTTAAAAATCAAGTTTGTAAGGGTAAGGGTAATATACTTGATCAGCAACATTTATAATGAATAATGGAACGCATTTTCATATGCTAGATCCAGGAACTACAATTGATAGACATCCTTGGTTTGCTGAGAAATTATAACTAGCAGAACGAGTGATGCTAATGTAATTCTATAGAAAAACAATCACTGGATAATGTTTCCTGTTCCTGTCCTCAATACTGATATATGGGCTAAATGTTTACTTTATTCAAGGAATCCATCAGTCATGTGTAGTTCATTTGACCCCCCAAGTCATATTCCTGGGCTTCATTGATAATTAGAAATCAATGCAATGGTCAACTGATGTATGCACACATATGGAAACACACACACACACACACACACACACACACACACACACACACACCAAACTCAACTATAGTAAGTAATTGTGCAGGCTAAATTACCAGCGTTATGGTTCAGCATTGATTCCACTGGGTAGATTAAATAATAACTAAATGTTTATCAAGCACTTACTCTCTATATATCCAGTGCTAGAATGTTGTGAGTTTCAAAGATGTGTAAGACTTGGTTTCTGTTCTTAGGAGTTTATAATCTAATGAGAGTTTAGATGAACATAAATGAAACATTTAGGAACTTTAGGACCAATCCCTGGAAATAACGTATTTGTTAAGAACAATGGGGGCTGGAAGACTTCCTGGAGAAGGTGAAACTTATGCTGGACTTTGATTGATGAATAGGATTTAGATATTCAAGAGAAGCAGGGACATTCAAGACCGGGGTCCATAGAGTGAGGGATGTAAAGGCAAAGATTCAAAGGTCCAGAAGCAGTAAAGATGACCTAAATACAGGTCAGCAAGAAGATAGGCAGGGTTATTGTATAAAAGGTCATAGACTTTCTCAGGGTAATGCAAGAAATTCAACAAAGCGTGACAATCGACTCTTAATTTTTTGGGGGGGAGGGTGTTGATTACTTGCATTTACTTAAAAGTATGATGTTTCATTCCAAATTTATTCATTTATAAAATGAGGATAATAATTCTATATCCTCCTTTTCCTGTAAGGATATTAGGAAGATTAAAAGTGACAATATATATGAAAGTGCTTATAAACTGTAAAGGGTTATTCATAAAGTACTTTAAGTTATCTAAATCTTTGGAAGGATGAAAGAAATAAAAATTAAAATATTTTCAGTTGGTCTATTACCAGCTCTGGCCAATTGTTGGATGCAATATAAGTTTAAGTGTAGAAAATCAAATTAAATTTTTGCAGTACGATAGATTTCAATTATCCATACTTTCTTTGTACAATTTATCACAGTCAACTAAATGCTGACCATACATGAATATTAACTACCCTTGAATTTTTTTTAGGTGAAAAAGATAACTAGGAGGGAAACAAGGCATAATTTTGCTTCCTAAAACTTATGTTTACATGAGTCCATTAGAAAGAGAAAGCAGTCTAACAAGCGTTTGTTCTATATATGTTAAGCAAACAAACAAACAAACAAAAAAGCAAGCAAAAATCACTGACTAGACTATGGTCCCTAGAATATCTAGCACATATGATATTGAGGGATTTGCAAATCTTGAGTACATTTGGCATCAAAGACGAGAATAATTTTTTTACTTATTGACACTCTCCCACTTTTGGAGGACAAATATTCTTATTTCACAGGAAAAAGCAGCTGTTGATTTTCAGTTCTTCTTGAAGTACTGCTTTTGAGTTTTAAAAGATTTTCGATTGTGCATGAAAAATGCTAATAGATAGAAGCTTTCAATGCTTTTTTATTGAGACCCTGAACCTTGAGAGAAGAGGTGTGTATATGTATTAAACTAATGTCCAATGCATCCAAGCCTTGTAAGATACTTAAAATTCACACTCAGATCACCTCAGTTTGTTCTAATGATTAAAAACAAAGCAATTTTTTTCTTCTTTTTCATTTTTCTTTATAAATCTGCTAGTATGTATAAAGACTCAGCAATATTTTATGAAACCCCTCACCTGCCATGAGTTCAGAATCCATATGATTTTTCTGTTCATATTTCATAGACATTCAAATAAATTTTTGAATATAATAAATGAACAAGAACTCTGTTGGTGTTTTATCAAGGCAGACATAGTGGTGATTTTCTTTGGTCTTCTGTTGTCTGAAATTCATGTATCTTATTAACACCAGGCAGGTGTTTTCTTCATGTTAAGCTTTGCATGATCAAGCTGTTATCACACTTATTTCAGTGATACTAAATATGGTTGCCTCAATTAAAGATCTGAGACTCCCAGTGCATTCTTAGGCAAAGTCCAAAAAGCTCAGCCACAGAATGTATTAAAACTGTTATCCGCAGTAGGCCTGAACGTTTTAGACATACCAGGCAGACAGGAAGAAATATTTGAAATTAAATGCATAATTTCAGATATTGCAAAGACTGATTCATTATGTGATTTCCCTTGTAGCAAGAGCAGATGCCTTGTATATAACCATAAGTAAGAAAAATTATCTCTGAATAAGATCTGTGAATATATGTACTAGCTAGTACATAATTAACTCATTGATGATGGGAATATGGTGTTAACTATCTTTTTCTTTTCTTTTCTAATATGTTGTTGGAATCATTATTACCAAACTAGATAATAATGCTTATCATGTGTTGGGTTTTAGAACTTAGTATACATTTTATTCTTCACTACAAATCTTCGAGATAGTACTGGTGTTATCCCATTCTATAAATGAGAAAGCAGAGGCATAAGAGCTAAGTAACTTATCCGCAGTGACACAGCTAGAAAGTGATAGAGTTGTCATTTGAACCTAGGCTTCCTGGCTCCAGAGTCCATGCTTGGGACCACTAATCTCCGCTGTCTGAGCTGTTTGTCCTTACTAATGTCTTCTTGTGTTAGTATGCTAAATTCCCAATTGGTAGCAGTGGTATCTTCAAACCAATCATTGCAATAGTGCTCACACACATGAACTGGATGTGAGCAGGTGGATGGAATCATAAAACCATATCCTAGGGTTATGATGACTATTAAATGGAAATGGAGACCCAGTTCAAATATGTTGTATGCTAGATGGTCTGTAAAAATCACTACAGTCTAGTTTCAAGAGAGCAAAGAAAATTATATCTAGAATAATTGATCTTCTGCCATTGGCAGTCCATTCACTAGCTAACAACTCCATCTATCTCCCTGGATGTTGGTAAAAACATTTCTGGGCAAGCAATTTTGTTGTAAAATATACAGAGTCATATTAAAATCTCAATTAGTATTGGATTTTCCACATAAAGGCTATATAACTGAACTAAAACTGTGAGAGATGGGCAGGGGAGGTGAGGGACAGTCTGTCTTGGAGGACAGTTGTATCAGGATTACTTGGAGGCTTCTAAAATTTTACTTCCCACGTTCTGAGACTCTGGGAGCCATCCCCCACCTCCAACCCCTTGAGAATCACTGAAATCACTGAAGCAAAGACACACACTCCTGTTTTGTTTTTTAATTTTAAATCACATATCTCAGGTGTGAGAAAATGTTTCTTTGCTCATACTCGCTGTTTTCCTCTGACAGGAATGCCCTTCAGAACTTGTCTCCCTTCCTCCCCTGTCTCCACCTACCTCAGTTCTACTCTTACGTGGACAGCTCCTTATTAAGCAGTAAAGGCCACACTTTATGTCCCTTCTTTAGAAAACTTTCCTTGACCAATCCATCTAATTTAGCCCCCCACCTGAAGATCCTTTTATCTTCAAAAGAAAAAAAAATTAGCAGCCTCTGGCTTTTGGAAGCTGTTCAGAACTAGGCTATTTTATTATCCTACTGGATATAATACCAACCTCAGACAAGGCTGCTTTGAGACCACCACAAAATGAGACAGAATAGGGCTACTTCTTAATGTTGCCTAAGTTCAGACAGAGGTAAGGACACTATACCACCCCCAAGTACCAAATATTCCTTGTCTCTTGGCTAAAATGAAGGCCACTTTAAAAAAATGAATTATAGCTTTATTCTCATTCTTGTATCCCTTCCCTACAGTTAAGATTTGTTAATATACTATGGTGTAAGTTCTACAATTAAGGCCTAATATAATTGGCTTCCTTGGTAGCTACGAGAATCTGGGAGGGACTCAAATAGTCCTACTGTAAGTTCACCTCCCCACTTGGCTCCTGCAGATAAGATCTCCTTACTAAAGAATCTTCCTTTGGGACTGACTCCATGGCTTAGCTGGTTAAAGTGCCTGTCTAGCAAAGAACCTTCCTTTTCAAATGGACCACGTACAGGTCCTCCTCATCCCTGAGAAGCAGGTTCCATTTTCCTGCCAGTCTGTGGAATGATTCCAACAAGCCAATCATATCCCTCTGAGGGAATCAGGGGCTACTCCAGACTTGATATTTCAAGGCCTGACTCCCACAGCTCTGTAGTTTACTTGTTTCACAAGTGTAACCTCTGTGTGGCCCTGTGTAGTGTGTGGTGTCTTCCTCCCCTGGGATGTATATGTGACTATTAAATATGCATTAATCTCATCTGTCCAGAGTAGGAAGTGTGTATTTGGCCACCCCCATAACTCTAGGTATGAAATCCCTTCCTCGGTAACAGAGTAAACAGGAGGCAATTAAAACAGATACTCAGGGAATGATCCCCCAACAATGGGAAGAATTCTACAGCTACCCATGGACAAAACTGTCTTTGTGGGAGCATTTTCAGGCACAAGACTGTAAAACTTTAGTGGAGTCCAAGACCTAGCAGGGTCACTGTGAAGGTGCAGCCAGTTGGCATATCCAACAATTGTAGTCTGAGCTTCAGACCCAGAATTACCTCATTTTCCAGAGGGCATGGTTACAGCTCAGTTTGGCCTTGAGCCTGCTTCGAAAACCATTCAC